TTTTGTAGGATGGCTGTGAGAATTAAATTAACAAGAGCTTAATATGCCCTCAATAAATTGCCAGCTACAAATAAATCAGCATTTACATACAACTACTATAACTATAATGTAGGGTCCAAAACAACATTCCATTTGGGGAAAAAGTGCCTGTTGGGGCCAGCACTGTGGCATAGCAGGTAAAGCTGCCGCCTGCAATGCTAGCATCCCATATAGGTGCTGGTTTGAGTCCTGGCTGTTCTACTTTCGATCCAGCTCTCTGCTATGGCCTGGGAAAGCAGTAGAAGATGGCTCAAGTCCTTGGGCCTCTTTATCCACGTGGGAGGCCTGGAAGAAGCTCTGGCTCCTGGCTTTGGATTGGCATAGCTCCGGCTGTTGTGGCCATTTGGGGAGTGAACCAGCGGATGGAAGACTTCTCTCTTTGTCTCTGCCTCTGCCTCTCTGCTTTTCAAATAAATAAATAAATAAATCTTAAAAAAAAAAGTGCCTGTTAATCAAAGGGTTATACAGGGATAACAGAAATCTGTATCCCTAGGATCTGACCTAGCTATATAGCAGGTGTTCAGGTAATGAACTTTCAAAGAACTATTTTCAAGACAAAATTACATTATCACTTTGATTAATGAAACATATTTGTTGCCTAAACTCAGTAACACTGAATATCTACATGGGCAAGGTCCTGATGGAGTCAGTCTGCATATACCAGAAATGTGAAGAGGTATGTTGGACACTATAACCATTACCATTCTATGATTTAATTAATTATCATCATAATCAAGCTTTGCTACAAGGCAGGAAATGTTTGAAAATGATTCATTCTGAAATGCCACTTTCCAATGACAAGATTGATAATTTAAAAAAAAAAAAAAGCTCAACTTTATATTTTCATTTTAGCTGGAAAATGCAGCCTGAACTGTTTTTACAATTAAGAAACAGATTTCAAGAATAACAGTACTTTAAGGACTAATTTAATAGCTGCCCATGAGGGACAGGGCTGAGGGTTTACCTTTATATTATAATCTCAAGGAAAAGAAAAAAACAGTTAAGTACATTGAAACTTTCTGGTGTTTCAGACTGACAAAGACCCAATCAAAGAATCCTAATCTTAATCTCTGTAGTTACACCTTGATATACACAAAAATAAACTTTTAAACTGTACGGTTGGAAACTCCCAACTTGTGCTATAATTACCTTTAAGTGCTATAAAAACAAGCTAAAGCTATTGGGATTCCGTAGGAAAGACTGGACAATTAGATTACTAGATGGCAATAGTCGGCTAGAATAAATATGACTGGCATTTACTAAGTAGGGATCAGTGATCCTATCACTTGTCCAGCTGTCCTACAAAGAGTTGTCCAGCTAAAAATGTTAATAGCATCCCCCAACTGGTATAACTCCTGAAGCTCTCTGGGGTCAAGGAGCTGCTCTGATACTTCTTTCCTCCAAAAAACACGGTACCCTGTTTAAAAAAAAAAAAAAAAAGAAAGAAAGAAAAGAAAAGAAAAGAGAAACAAGGTGGGGGCTGGTGCTGCAGTATATTGGGTAAAGTCACTGCCTGTGCTGTCAGCATCCCATATGGGTACTGGTTCAAGTCTTGGCTGCTCCACTTCAGATCCAACTGCCTGTTAATGAACCCGGGAAAAGTAGGGGAAGATGACTCAAGTACCCGAGCCCCTGCACCCATGTGGGAGATCCAGAATAAGCTCCTGGTTTCAGATATTTATAACCAATATTCATTTATAATATCCAGCCATTGTGGCCATTTGGGAAGTCAACTAGTGGATGGAAGATCTGTCTCCCCTCCTCCCCCGTAACTCTGCCTTTCAAATAAATAAATCAATCTTAAAAAAAAAAAAAAGGTTAAATAGGGATTTGAGAAATAATATCCTCTATAAGGAAGAAATGGATCAGACATTAATCCATCTTGTTCTTTCAATCCAAATACTCTTCCTGACATTTCACCCCTATATATCCAGAGAAGCAGCTGAACCTCACACTCAGATATTTAGTGTGTAATTCCACTCAAAAGCTAAACTTGGGAATGTCAGATTTAAAACGCATTCTGTAGAGTAGGGGTGGGGAACATCCAGTCATAGCAATATAGACAGCAAAAATCATTTGGTCTGACCCCAATAAGGCAATTGCAGGAGGGAATCGAAAATCAATAAATCTATACCAGGCTAATTTTTAAGTTGATAATTTTGTATGACCTGCACATGTTGTAAATATCCCAATGGCCTTTGGCAGAAAAAAGAAACCCCAATTCTGCAACAAACATTTAAATCATTACAGCAAAGATAGCTAATCTCTTGGCACTTAAATGAGAAATTCCAGTTCGAGTTTTTCTATTTTAAAGTCTTTTAAAAAGGCAATTATAGCTCATTCCAATAATGAAATCAAAATTTAAATTAACCCATAGCCACCCAAGCTCTTTTGGTACTTTGATCTATCTACAAGTTTCCTCACTTCATTCTGCACTGCCATGCCCTCCACTCTCCATACTATACTTCAGTGACTTCACTCTTGTATTCTTGTCATTCCCCAAGTCTGCACATCCCACACAAGCTGCTGCGTCTCTCTACCGGCCACACTCCCACTCATTCTTTACTGCCTTGTTCAAGTATCACCCCCTTTTCTTAAGCAGTCAGGAATTCCTTCCCTGTACAGTGTCCTGTACAGTGCTCGACTTGCAGACATGCTGAAGAGGTTCCTACAAAAAGCAGATGAATTAAGTGTCCCAAATTTGTGTATTCTTCTCTCATTAATCAAAGCATTCTGCAGGTAATTCTGTTGATTTGTGTTAGTTCCTTGACTATAACATGGCTTCCTAGAAAGCAGGAAACCAATTTACTCACTTAATAATTTCCCAGTATCTAATGCTCAAATTTCTTTTAATATGCTGGTTGAATAAAAGAACTTGGGTCTTCCAACCCCATGTAGCAAAATCCATTCACAAGAATTTCTGTCACAGTTACATAAATGTTTCCAATTGCTATTCTCAGCATGTTAACTGGCTTTGTCTTTTTAAATAAAGCAGTAGTATTAATGACGACCTGTTAACATCCCGAAAAATTTTAATTATAAAGAAGTAAAGGTGCATTTTCAAAATGTGCTCACATTTCAATTTGATTTTGACTCAATGAATCCTTTTCATCGTACTGGAGGATGAAAAGTTAACGAAGTGAAGTGATATAATCAAAACCTATCACAAAACTGGTTTCTAATTACCCCTCACTTTACAACGTCTAGCACCTAGGACGATATGAGAAGTGTCATTAACAGGATTCTTTGGCTTACATTTTAAGTCCACATCAGTATTTGATAATTTTAAATTATGAATATATTAGGAGGTTGTCTAAAAAGGTTAAGTTCAAACTGAGAAATCTTTAATGTTCCTGAGATACATGTGCTTTCTTTTTTGAAACAGCTTGCATCTGGGAAAGAAGTGCCTTCAGGGCAAATGTATGCACCTACGTAATACAAAGAGGTCTGGTCAGTTTACGACTCTGAACAGAGAGGCAGATTCAAACTGAAACCTCGGGTCTAATGGGCCCGAGGCCATTTTGAGAAATACAGGGGAATGACTGGTAGAACAGACTGACACACAAATCCCGCCCAGAGGACGGCTGCTCCCCTAAGTCTCTTCCCTGTAGCTGAGAAGGCGATCGGCACCGAAAGCTTCCTCAGCTGCGAGGGAAAGCTGTACAGACGGCAGAGAGCACGCAGATCCCTCCTTCCCACAGCTCCTGCAGTCAGACCTTAGTCCTCCCCCAAGCCTGTTACCAGAACCTTCCCTACTATTGTGAAAAACTACAAGCGCTCTCTCCCACACAGAGGGTGTTCGTTCTAAGGAAAAGGGGAGGCTCAGTTAACCCCTTGGAGAAGCCCGAGGGCCGAACCATTGCGGGAAAACACTTAAGGCCATCTTCGGGTAACACGCGCTGGGGTTCCTGGCAGCCTAGAAACCGAGAACACAAAACCACGTTCGAATCGCTTATCAGTATACCCTACGCGGCGAAACGTGAGCCTCCTCGCCTTTCAGCCCGGAAGGGCACCTCTTTCCTCTTCCTCTCGTCGCGAATAGGTAGCGGCCTACTCAGCCGACGGCAAAATTACCATAAGCTTGCGGATCCCGCCGCGCGGTCCAGACTTACCTGCCGGGCTCTCTGCAGCGCATCTTTGAAAGCATCGTTAACTCCTCCACCACCGCCGCCCCCACCACCGCCACCAGCCGAGCCAGAAGAGGGTGGAGGCACCGTTGAATAGTCCGCCATGGCTACACTATAGTAGCCGCTGCCGCTTCTTTGAAGACCTCTCAACCAACTGCTAAGAAAGAAAGAAAATGGCGGCCGTCGAGTCTCTATCACATTCTTGCGCGACCATCGTGCAGTAGAGGGGCGGGGATAGAAAGAAGGAAATCTCGCGATGTTTCCGAAGCAACGCGCAAATGCCGGGGTGGGGCTGAAAAGGAAAAGGCAAAGATGTCGCGAGATTTGAGTTTCCGGTGTCGCGCGAGAATGGGATTTATCTTGGCACTGCCTCTTTCCGCGCGTTCTCGCGGGGAGGTTGGGTGGTAGGTGGGACGGGTGGCGATGGCGGTTGGGCTCGAGTTGCGGCAGTCTTGAAAAACTGGTAGTGGTTTCTTACTGGTCGCCGCCTTAGGGAGGTAGTGTGGAAGATTGGCCGCTGAGAGTCACTCTGAGTAGCCAAGGAGAAAGGAGTGACGCCAACGTGCGTGGCACCGACGCAACAGTGTCACGAGAGTGCCGCGGCGCGGGGGTCGCCTGGGAGAAGTGCACCCGGGACGCCGCGCGGCGATGCTCTCGAAAACGTCCGCCTCGGCCTAGTGGGAACCCGGCGAGATTTTCAGGGTAGTAAAGTGCCCCTGGATTTTACTTCTGACGCTCACATAGTTCAGTTCTTCGCACGCTGGCATGAATTCAGGCTGGAGGCCTGTTAGTTCTCGATCTGTTTTTCAAGCTTTTGTTTAAGGTAGTATTATCAGGCCGGGACAGTATGACTGCCCCTTTCTTTCTTTTAAAAACGTTCCTAAGATTCAGTGTTAGGCAGACCTCGTACTTAATATTCTGTGTCGGCGGCCAGGTTTAATTCTTCTAATTAAGAACAGCATCAATTTCTTTGCCGAAATTGGCTTTAAGAAGTACTTTTTCACAGCTGTAACCGTGGGTACTCATGTGTAAGGTAATGTTCTAAATTATCCAGGACAAGATAATTTTTGGGTATTTCCTGTTACTGTAGTTACCGAGTCATTTCAGACGTTTCTTTAGATCTACCTTGGGTATATCGTGACGTGTAATTTCCGACGTTAGTAATAGTTGCACGAATCAGTGTGCGTTAGAAGTCTCAATGTAGCCCAGTGAGTTTTTCCCCAAGGATCTTGCCATTTAGATAAAAAGAGTTTTAAAAAACTACCATCTGTGGCATTTTTGTTTTCTGTGAATTAAGTCTACAAAGATACTTTTCTTGTTGCAGGTTTTAGAGTAATTGAGAGAAATGTGTACCACATTCTTCTTGATAACCCAAAATTAATAGGCCTACTTTCTCTAGGTGCAAAATAAGTCAACACTAAACGGTTTTATATACACGAAGATGCAAGTGGATCATCATTTTCCTTTAGCCAACTTTCTGTTATACTTTTGAGTGTTCATAGGCATGCTTTAAATGTTAGTGGAATTTGTATGTGTTTGGAAAGCCAGTGAGTGTATTGGACTATAAATTTAATCATGGCAGTGTATAAGAAAACAAAAGCAGTGTTGGATGGTATTACTAAATAGGAGTTTTTCAGTTCTATTTTGAGAAAGTTGCCCAATAAATGTCTTATTAACCAGTTACTGATTTTTCTTTTATTAATTAAACGTGCTAATCAGACCTTACTAATATGATTTTACTGAAGTTAGATAATATGCTCCCAAAACGAACAGACCTTACATATACCACAGTTTAATTTGTGAGCACAAGCTTGAATCCTGGCTGCTCTACTTCTGATCCAGCTCCCTGCTAATGTGTCTCGGAAGAGCGGGAAGATGGCCCGAGGGCTTGGGCCCTTGCACCCCTGTGGGAAATCCAGATGAAGTTCCTGGCTCCTGGTTTCAGAATGGCCCAGCCCACGCCGTTGGGGCCATTTGGGGAGTAGACCAGCGAATGAAAGGTCTCTCCCGCTCTCTCCTTGGCACTTTGCCTTTCAGTAAAGATTTATTGAAAGGCGGAATGACAGAGGGAGAGGCAGAGAAAGACATTTTCTATCAGCTTTGTTCACTCCTCAAGTACTTGGGCCATCTTCTGCTATTTTCCAAGGTTCATAGCAGGGAACTGGATCAGAAATGGAGCAGCAGGAACATGAGCCATCTATCCAATATGAGGTAGCTGTGTTGCAAGAGACAGGAGCCCATTGTGCCACTACTCTGGCTGCTGGAACAGGATTTCTTGGTCTCAGGATTACTGACCATTTGGGATCAGATTTTTTTTGTGTGTGTGTGTGTGTGATACTACTGTGCATTATAGTATGTTTAACAACATCCTTGACCTCCATCCATAGGTGCCAGTAGCTCTTCCCTCTTACCCACCAATTCTTAACAACCAAAAATGTCTTCAGAAATTGTGCATGTAGGGGGCAGGTGTTTTTCTTAGCAGTTAAGACATCTATTAGGATGCCTGTGTTTCTAGAGAGTGCTTGAGTTTGAATTCACACTCTCCAGATTCCACTTTCCTGCTAAGGCAGAGCTTGGGAGGCAGTGGCTGAAGCAGCTGGATCCCTGCTACCCATGTACAAGACTTGGATTGAGTTCTCTTGCATCTTTGCAGGCATTTGGAGTGAACTTGTGGATGGGAGCTTCCTCTCTCGCTGCACCTCTCAAAAAAATTATATATGTATCTGTATATGCCTTTGGGAACGAAATCACCCTTCATCATTAGCCTTGATTCCCATTGCTTTCTGTTAATCCATCTCAGGGAGGCCCTATTGACCATAATGCAAATGTATATTCTCAGTTCCTTTTCACTTCCACTCTAGTCCAAATTACTGTCACCTCATTCAGAATTCTAGTTGGTTTCTCTGCTTCCATTCTTACCTCTACCCTTTTTTAAAAGTTAGGAAGTTTGGCGCTGGCACTGTGGCATAGTAGATTAAGCCACCATGTGCAGCACCAGCATCCCATATGAGTGCCGGTTCGAGTCCCAGCTGCTCCACTTCAATCCAGCTTCCTGCCAACGCGCCTGGGAAAGCAGTGGAGGATGGTCCAGGTCCTTGTGCCTCTGTACCCACATGGGTGTGGCCAACTGGGGAGTGAATCAGTGGATGGAAGATCTCTTTCCGTATTTCCATCTCTCTCTCTCATTCTTTCAAATAAACAAAAAAATTAGGGAATTTTTTTCAGAAAATTATATATTACACATATAAGGTTTCAAAAGTAATGAGCATGTATCCAATCCAAAAATTATCTTCAAGGAATAGACCATTATCAATATTTTAAGCTAAAGGATACCTGATTATTTTACAGTCTTTCCCTCTTGTAGAAGCTTGATTTTTTAAAATCATGAATGAAATCATCTCAGATATGTTACTGATTGTATTTAAAGTCTGTCTGCTAGAGTGGTGTGAGGGCTCCTTACTTTCCACTCCAGGTATTTGCCACCTTGCTCTCCAGGATCTTTCCTGCCTGTTTGACTTTGTGCTGCTTTTTTCTCTGCCTAGGATTTGGTTACAGACCTTCAGCATGCATGGTCTCTTTTCATTCAGGCCTACTTCAGATGATACTTAGATTGTTCTGATCTCTGTACTCGAGCTGTTCTTCAGTCTCTGCCCACTACCGTGTTTTCTTTATAGCATTTGACTGAAATTATCATAGACTCTATGTGGTTGGTTGTTTTTTTTTTTTTTCTTTCTCTGTCTCTCTTCCATTCTGACAGAGTGTGTCTCCCCCATTGACAAGTTCCTAGCACATAGTCTTGATGCTCTAGGTATTTGTTGAATGAATAGATACTGCAAAAATTGCTTCTGCATTTGGTTTTCTGAGTTTGGGCAAGTGGCTTAGTCTGTTCCTTAGATTTCTTATGTACACAATGAATATAACCCATTTGCCTTCCTCTAATGAGATACCTATGCTATGGTACTTCCTGATTAACAGAGGAAGATCCACTTATGTAAAATTTTTAAGACATTTTATTTATTTGAAAGACAGAGTTAGAGAGACAGAGTTAGAGGTAGAGACAGACAGAGGTCTTCCATCTGCTGGTTCACTCTCCAGATGGCCGCAACAGCCGGGGCTTCCTCTGGATTTCCCATGTGGGTGCAGGGGCCCAAGGACTTGGGCCATCTTCCAGGCCATAGCAGAGAGCTGGATTGGAAGAGAAGCTGGAACTAGAACCGGCGCCCATATGGGATGCTGGCACTTCAAGCCAGGGCTCTAGCCCATGGTGCCACAGCGCTGGCCCCCACTTAAGTAAATTTTAAAATTAAACAGTTAATGTTCAAATCTTTTTTAAAACTTTATTTATTTGAAAGAACAAGAGGTCTTCCACCTGCTGGTTCACTTCCCAAATGGCCACAATGGCCAGAACTGAGCCAATCTGAAGTCAGGAGCTAGGAGCTTCTTCTGGATCTCCCACATGGGTGCAGGGGCCAAGGACTTGGGCCATACTCCCCTGCTTTCCCAGGCACATTAGCAGGGAGTTGCATAGGAACTCCAGCACCTGGGACTCAAACCAGCTCCCATACTGGATGCTTGCACTGCAGGCTGGGACTTTAACGCACTTGTGCCATAGCACTGGCCCTTAATTTTTTTTTTTTAAGATTTATTTATTTATTTGAAAGTTACAGAGACAGAGATCTTGCATCCACTGGTTCACTCCCCAAATGACTGCAAAGGCCAGAGGTGGGCCCATCCAGAGCCAGGAGCCAGGTCTCCCACATGGGTTCAGGGTTCAGAGGCCCAAGTACTTGGGCCATCTTCCACTGCCTTCCCAGGCCATTAGCAGAGAGCTAGATCGGAAGAGGAGCAACCCGAACAGGAACTGGCTGCCCATATGGGCTATCAGCACCATAAGCAGAGGCTTAACCTACTATGCCACAGTGCTGGCTCCCAGACTTTTTCTTAAGTAAGTTTATTCCTCATTACAATATAAATCTTGGAAGTGGATGTATGATAGCTAATGATATAAAATTCATGTATTCTTAAAGATATCTCAATATCTCACTAATTACATTTTATTGTCACTTTTTTTAAGAGTTATTTATTTTGAAAGAGGAGTTACCAAGAGGTAGAGCCAGAGAGAGGGAGGTCTTCCATTCCACCGGTTCACTCTCCAAATGACTGCAACGGTCAGAACTGAGCTATCTGAAGCCAGGAGCAAGGAGCTTCTTCCAGGTCTTTCACACGGCTGCAGGGTCCCAAGGAGTTGGGCCATCTTCTACTGCTTTCCCATAGCAGAGAGCTGGGTCAGAAGAGGAGAAGCCAGGACTAGAACCAGTGCTTATATGGGATGCCAGCACTACAGACTGGGGCTTTAACCCGCTGCACCACAGCGCCAGCCCCTATTGTCACATTGTTACAACAGCAATTTTGGAATCAGTTATTATCTCTGGCAATAGCCTAAAAAATCAACAGTTCCTTTAATAGTAAAAAATAATTACTTTCTGGTAAGGTATCCCTTATCCTTAGGATGAAGCAAAAGTCAGTGATCTGGAGATTATAGAGATCTAGCTGGAAGCATTTAGCTTTGCCGAATAATGGGATGAAAGATTAATAAATTTATTATATGTTGGACTATCAAATGTACTGGCAAGATTCTTTTACTTTCTGATTTATTGGTTACCAAAGGCAGAGTTACAGAGGGAGAGAGAATCTTCCATCTGCTGATTGACTTCCCAAATGGCCACAACGGCAGGCTGGGCCAGGCTGAAGCTGGGAACCTGGAACTCCGTCTGGGTCTCCCATGTGAGTGCAGGGGCCAAAGCATTTAAGCCATCTCTGCTACATTCCCAGGTGATCTGTTAATCAGTAGTGAAGCTGTTGGGACGCTGGAACCAGTGCTCACCTGGGATACTGGCATTGTAGGTGGAGGCTTAACCTGCTGTGTCACAACTATTCTTAGTGTAACTTTTCACTGTTGGACTTATTAAATATATGTGAATAATGACATTGCAGATGAAGAAAAATAGCCCATTATGAAGTTTTGAACAGGTA